CCTTTTATTGTAGCCACTAGATGGCGCCATTTCTCCACCATCAGATCTTCATCCAGGCTGAGCGCGTGAAAGTCATAAAACCACGATGTTAAGTCTAATCAGGGTCACTGTAGGGAAAAAACCAACAACTACGAAACAAACATGTCTTTAGGTTACTTCAAGTTCCAGATGTATTTCATCTTATGTAGGTGGTTGGCAAATAAATATTTAATTTGTAAACATTTTCTGAATTCATTTTCGGTCACACTCTACAGAGCGCTTCTAGGTGACGCCCTCAGTCAGTCAGCCCTCGACCACCCCACACCCCTCCTCCTCCTTTCCCTCCTCCCGCTCCTCCTCCTCCCTTTACACACCGGTTTGTTCCCATTCGCCCAACCAGTCACCTCAGCGCGCGCCCGGTCGACCAGCCGACAGAAAGACAGGAGTCCCGAGCAGAGACCCCCCCCCCTCTCAGCCGCTGCCTTTAAGTGGGGGTTCTGACAAAAGAAAGCAGGGGAGGAGAATGGCACCGAGTCGGACCTTGGATCAGAACTGAGTCTGGTCGGAATACAAGAGAGAGCTCCTCAAGTCCATCAGAGTCATCCTGTGTGTGTCCTGACACAATGGGCTGCTGCAGCGGACGGTGCACTCTCATCTTTATTTGCACTTTACAGTTGGTGAGTTCATACTTGTGTTTTTTATTTATATTAGGCTAGTTTTACAAGTTTCAAYTGTGAGACAACATCTTTGATGTACCTGATATGAGTGTCATGGGTCAGATGCTGCAGAAATCCAGACTTTGTGCATTTGAAGTGATTATTACTGAATGAACAGAAAATATCCTGCCTGGTCCAAAAACTCAGCTCTTCTCTGGAATGGCTGAGAGGCTGGATGAAACCTGCACTTTTTTTTTGTGTATATGTGTGTGTAAATGAGCTCTGAATATTGCATTATAAATGTCACACTAAGTTCAGACTCAAGACACCACTCTGACTCCTTTCATTATAAAGTGGCAGAAGTTCACCAAAAACACCAATTCACTCTGTGTCTTTAAAACCCTCATGTTCCCCTGGCTTTTTCTTTCTTTCTTTTTTTTTTGGAGCCTCTCAGGTCCTGATGGTGTGTGACATTTACAGATGGGAACTGTTGCAGTCTCTCCAGTGATGCTTTCCGCTGAGTTACAGGCCAGCTCGCCTTTTGTTTTTACACCACCTCTCAGCAGAACCGACCTGACAGACTGTGACAACGTTATTGATGATGGTGTTAAAGCTGAGCTTGTTCCCACCATCAGACCCCCCGAGCACCCTCAAAGTAAATGCCACTTTTAACAGCCAAGGGAGCAATAGTGCTAAGAAAGTTTTGATGCGTTATGTTAYGCATGAGGGGCTCTAAAGACAAACTGAATGGAACATGAATGAATATTTGTTATCAGCAGTAATGGTGCTGAGTTATATATTTAAATATATACATTTATGTAAAAATACATAAAGTCAACGTTTTAACATGCTCTCAGAAATATTCTTATTTCTACTCGGAACAATGAGGCTCATGTTCAAGAACAGAGGTTAGAGGAAAACTTGATTCTAATCCTCACAGTGCTTATTACTCACTAAAACTAGAGTAAACAGTTACTTAAACAAGTTTGTAAGAATAACAAACGTTATCGCCGTCAACTATTTCATAAAGTAACTTAAAAACAGCACTTTTTCAGCTCTTACACTGCAGTTTTCATTTTCAAGCTAATATTTTCTTTTTCCTGCATTCTGCCACGTTTGAACTCATCCGTGTCGCCCGTGAGATGTTTATGTTTCTTTTTCTGCTTCCAAATTTCACAAAATGTCCAGGTTTTGTTGATGTCATCAGAAACCTTCTAAATCGCATTGATTTTTTTATGAAATACGGTTGAAAAAAATAAACTCAAATTAATTGAGATTTTCCTGTATTTGTAACTTTTTTATTCTAGTAGTAAAGTAGTTAATTTATTTCACTTGAATGCATAAAATAAAACAGATTTTTGTTCCAGTATATTGGGCAGATTTTAGCAGAAATTTCAAGCCTTCCCTTTAAGCTTTTGAGGTTTCGTAAAGAAATGCATATTTCCCTCCAACTTGTATGAATAAAAAACATCTTACTCTGTTAAAAAGTGATTGTTTGAGCTGTTGGTTAAAAACGATCTGTTTGCATTCTAAGTTGATGATAACTTGTAGCTATTGCCACACATGAACTAAAGCTTTTTTTTTTTTTACCTGAAATTAACTTTCATCCAATCAAATAGACATGAAATTGTACATCTATTTGATTTGTCATCAGCTACAAAATCAAACCAAGCAGAAAACAGAAAGTTAACTTTTGCTGTGATGGATTTCATGGTTTACTGCAGAAATCGTCTCCCTCTCTGGTGGAACATACAGACGCTTAAAAATCCCGAGGGCAGTGAACTCACCTTTCGCCACACACCTGTTCTTCTGTTGCCATCTTCAGC